GCTCAAGGCTAACACTCTACTACTTGTGCCATACCTCCATTTCCGGCTTTTTGAGGTACTTAATTGGAGAGAAGAGTCTCATAGACTTTCCTGCCCAGGCTGGCTTCAAACCTCAATCCTCGGATCTCAGCCTTCTGAGTAGCTAGGATGACAGCTGTGAGCCACCAGTGTCCAGTGATTCTCTGCTATTATGATTTACATGGAGATTTCAGTTTTCTGGAGGTTTTGTGCAGCTTGTAGAGTCAAGAAGGCAGTTCGCTTTCCATCCACTTCACTTCTAGGAACGCGGTGATTAACTCACCAGCACCCTTGTCTGCACAAGTCAGACAGCTCTGATTGCTGCTTTGCTTCTGCTGCCCATTACAGTAATTACTAATTACGTCTACCTTGCCTTTGGAGGTAGAGTGCTGCTGCTTGGCCCCCATCACCCCAGGATCCAATTATTCCCACTGCATTTCCAAGTTCTAAGTGGCTGCGGTTCTCAGGGAGGAACAATCATAGAGCTCTTCAAGGGCACAGAACCTTGCCTCTCAAATCCATTTCCCAGGGCTTCTGAAAGTGTCTTGAAGCCCCTCCCACTGTGTGGGTGGGTTTTAAGTGGCAAACCCACTCTGGCATTCCAATCTCCCTCAGCCTATGAATCTTTTCCTCATCAAACCCAGGGAGCTTCTACAGTTTTACTCCAGTCACTGTAAGGTAGCTATTTCTTTTTTCCTCCCCAGTGCTGGGGTCTTGACCTCAGGAGTTTGTGGTGGCTAAGCAGACATTCTACCACCCCTTGTTGTGTTAGCTATTTTTTTAGTAGTTGTGTGTTTTCACTTAAGTCGACCTGGGTACTGGTGGCTCACGCCTGTAATCCTAGCTACTCAGGAGGCTGAAATCTGAGGATTGCAGTTCAAAGCCAGCCTGGGCAGGAAAGACCGTGAGACTCCTATCTCCAATAAACCACCAGAAAACCCAGAAGTGGTGCTGTGGCTCAAGTGGTAGAGCACTCGCCTTGAGCTGAAGAGCGCAGGGACAGCGCCCAGGCCGAGAGAGAGTTCAAGCCCAACGACCAACAAAAAAAAAAAAAGAATTTCCACATCAACAAAGTCAACCTGACCTGACTCAGCCCTCCCCCACCAGTCCCTCCCTGTCCATTCCCAGGTTCCTGCTGTGGGAATCAGAGAGCTCATTAGTTCTTTTGGAGTGTGGGGCACCTTTTTGGGGACAGTGAAAATACTTTGCTCCTTGTAGGGGGGTGACCAGATCCAACAAGTGGAAAATGCAGATGCCCACAGTACACAGATGCTTATTTAACCATCACTGTGATCCCAAAACAGCCAGCTGCTGCAGGCGGCTACTCCTGGCTGACCAGGCAACGCGTGTACCACCAGGTCAGGCGGAGGCTGTGTCACAGGTAGGTGCTGCCAAACCTGGATGTTATGAGTTCTCCTCTCTGTCCTTCCCAAGTGTGGGTTCCCTTTGTTTTCTAAGAGGTGCTTTGGTGAGGTAGAGGCTTCCAGAACCCTCCATCTACAGCAGAGTCAAGAGTGTTAAGCTGGGACTGAGGTCTGGTCCACAGTTTATTGACAAATCATTTCCTGGTGCCCGGGCCTGCCATGGAGCTCCACGCCCACATTGCACAAGCCTCAGGCCTGGATGGCAGGCAAGGCTGGGCCTGGGCCTGGCCCTGGCAGTTTCTCCTGGCCAACCCTCCAGAGAGGCTTGGGGAGCCCAAGCCTGCTGCCGATGAGGTCTCTCTCACCATCCCTGGACTCATAATTCTTCATGTTGGGCAATGAACAGAACATTACAACAAAACAAGCAGGAAGCTACCCAAAGGCGCCAGGGAGTTGCAACAAGCAGATCTCCTCTGAGAGCCACGGACCTGCAGAGCCTCCCTCGTCAGCACTGTAACTCACCTCCGAGGAGCAAGAGCCTCGCTCACCCTTACCCTGGCCCTAACCCAAAGTAACAGGTAACCCCTTTGGAATGCAAGTTGAAGCCACTGGGCACTGGTACTCAGGCTGAGATCTGACGATCACACTTCTCAGCCAACCTGGGTAGGAAAAGCTGTGAGATTATCAACTCTAACCAGTAAAAAGCCAGAAGTAGAGGTACGGCTCAATCAGTAGACATACAGTCCTGAAGCTAAGGGAGAGCACAAGGCCCTGAGTTCAAGCCCCCAGTATGGGCACACACAAAAAGTCATAAATCTGGTACTAGAATCTTCCATAAAACTGGTCTACCGTGACCATGATCAGTGCACACACTGCACTCTCTTAGCCACACATGGCAAGCCCCTGGCTTGGAGCAGAGTTTCACAGTTAGGTTGGGAAGGGGAGAGCACTGCACAGAGTGAGATCTCATCCATCGGCCGGCAGGGGAACGGCAGGCCTGTGCCCCTCTGGAGGATGGAGACACCGGGGGCTGCCCTTATGCTGTTGTCTGATACGACTCAGAACAAAAGATAAATCGATTCATGCACAACAGCCACATCCTATTTCTTGAGAAGTGGTGCCCAAGTGCCAGACTACACTCGTGAACACCCTAAGAATCAGAGCAGTTGCAAAATGCATCGCAGGCAAGTTTCCATCCAGGTGCAGGTGCAGCACAGAGCTCACCCCACATACATCAGCCTCAGTGAGCCACTTGGCCCCAGGAGCCGGGAGAAAGCAGACATCTGTGCTGATTCCAGGGCAAAGAGTTTTATGCGGCAGCCATGGGGAGCCCTGCTGCACTGGAGCAGCCCGAGGAATGCAGCCTCGCCTAGATCCAAAGTGACATCACTGGGGCCCAGGCAGGACCAGGCCCTGGAAGACACTGCCTCTGTTGAAGCCTGCCCCTGGCTTGTTCCCTGCTGTGGCTCAAGTCACTACTGCTTCTAAGGTGGCAGCCAGGCTGAGCAAGAAACTTGAGCCAGGCCCTGGTGGCTTACCCCAGTAAATCCTGGCTCCTTAGGCTGAGATCTGACCGGAGGATCACAGTTCGAAGCCAGTCCAGGCAGAAAAGTTGGTAAGATTCTTATCTCTGGTTAACCAGCAAAAAGCTGGAGGTAGAAGTGTGTTGCTCAAGTGGTACAGCTCAGAAAAAAGCCAAGTGAGAGCACAAAGCCCTCAGTGCAAGTCCTACTATGGCCCAAAATAAAAGAGGAAAGTGTGGGAATGTCTCCATGGCTGAGAACCTGCCTGGAAAGTGCAAGGCCCTGACTTCAAACCCCATCACCACCAAAAAGTAAAGAGGAAAACTTGTGAAAGTGTTACATCTCCTACACACACACACACACACACACACACACACACACACACACACACACACACACACACACACACACACACACACCACACTCCACCTACCAGATAAATTACTCCTGACAGAATAAAAAAGCAGAGGGGTGAAGGAGGAGGAAGGAAAGCTTCAAATGATCTAATGCAGTCCATCACTCTGTGACCGCCCGCCTGGCCCATGACCCCAGTGCCAGGGCCGGTAAACCAACAGCATCAGCCAGAACTTGGGGAGTCCTGGTGTACAGCCCCATCTGTGCAGTTTGAATAATTTGCACACTGTCTCTGGGCATCTGCTGAGACAGGAGGGGTAGCCTAGCTAGATGCCCAGATGCTTCCCTGACTCCGTGATTCCACTTCATCTATGCAACCAGCCCCTCTCAGAGCTGCTGGTTAGGAGCAGTGAGAAGTGAGAAGCCAGCCCTGCTCCCTTCCGGGCTCCCTGCTCTCCTCACACTCAACAACCCGGGATGAAAGCCTCCGCCCTGCTCCCACCCTGCACCCCCTAGACAGAAAATCCTTCCAGGGACACCAAGCCTTAGTCACGGGGATGGCGCGCTCACCAAGAACACCTGTTAAAACTCAGCTCATGAGCAGTTTGAGGCTACCGGCTGGAGAGTTTAATTAAATATTACTCACTCAGGAAGCAGCCCCTGCCAGCTCACCACCAAACTGTAGTTGGTTTTCAGAGAAAAAGAGAAAGAGCAAGGAGCCTAGCCACCCCCCCCCCTTCCCGGGCTGGCACTGCAGGGGGGCCCCTGAGCAGTGACGGCTGGTGGTCCAATACAGCCCCCCCCCCCCAGCCCTTTCCAGAAACATGCAAGAGCCCCCGTTAACAGACAGCACACACAATGAAGTCACACGCGCACACACACAGAGTCACAGACGCACCCACATTCGCAGACACACTCAGGCAAGCATCCACAACTCTCTCTCTCACACACACACACACACACACTCACACACACACACACACACAACTTCCGGGCAGAGCAAGCATCCTCAAGGGCACATCTGCCTTCATCCACTCCATCTTGACCAGGACGGCCACCGGGTCCCCGCACGCACCCCAGGCCCCGGCCGCCCGGTCCTGCGATTCCACCCACGGGCTCCGGCGGCTCGGCTTTTCCCGTCTTCATCCATTTCCTGACGTGACCCCGGCCTCTCCCTCCGTTCGGTTGCCCGTTGCCCGGAGAAGCCGGCTGGGCGGGCGGCGCCGGCGGCGGCGTCTCCCGGGGCTCCGGGGAAGCGCAGCGGGCCGGGCCGGGCGGCCGGCCGGGCGGGGACCCGGGGCCGGGCGGGCCGCGCGGCCAACCCGGTCCAGACTAGCGGAAAAGCGAAACTAACTTGCCCGGCCGGGGCTGCGGGGCCGGGGTCCGCCCGCGGCCCGGGACGGCCTCGGAGCCGGGTCCGGGCGCTGGGCTCCGGGAGGTCCCGCCGCGCACCCCAGGCCTCCGTCTCCTCTGCGGCCGCCGGGGCTCAGCCCTGGACGGCCAGGGGCCGCGACCCCCGGCCGGCGTCGCCCCGCAGGTGGGACCGGCCACCTCGACGCGCCGGTCCCGCCGCGGCGGCGCTGGGCGGCGCCCGCCCCCCTCCCGGGACTCGAGCCTCGGCGGAGCGGCCGCGGCCCCGCGGGGTCTCCCGGGCTCCGCCCCGCGCCCGCCCGCCCGCCGCGCCGACCCCGCGTCCGCCCCCACCCCGGCCCCCCGCGCCGGGCCGCGCGCGCCCACCCACCGGGTCGTCGGCGTCCGGCGCTGCCTACCGCGCCCGGGGAGGCCGTCGCTCTCCGACACCCTGAAGGCTCTGGGCGCCCCGGGCCGCGCCCACCGCAGGGAGCGAAGTCGCCTCCTCCCCGCGGCCCCGGCGCCAGCGCCTGGAGCCTGGCTGCTGCTGCGAGCGCGCGGGCCGCCCGAGCGCGACTTGGATGCGGGGAAGAAAAAGCAACGGACGACTTTAAAGTGAAAAAAAGCCAAACGCGCCGTGGGCGGGCCCGCCCGCCCCGCCCACCGCAGGGCCCGCCCCGCCCACCGCAGGGCCCGCCCCGCCCACCGCAGGGCCCGCCCCGCCCACCGCAGGGCCCGCCCCGACACCGGCCACACCCACCGAGCCCAGGCGGCCACGCCCATCTCCCGCCCCACACAGGCCCCGCCCACAAGCGTTCAGCGCAACTGCGGGCGTCGTGTGTCGCGCTCGGCCCTCCACTCCCACCTCCGGGTCCCGCCTCCCGGCCCCGCCTCCCGGCCCCCGGGTAGCAGCCACTGCCCAGGCGTGGCCTCTGGAGGCTCTTAGGGGCAAGGCCGGGTCTAAGGCCTCACTAGCAACCAAGGGAGAGGGGCCAGCCTCGGCAGTGCCGGCCCCGAGAGGGGGGGCCAGGCTCACTCATTTAAACATGGGGAGCCCATGGGAAATCCCTCTGTAATCTGAGGGACTAGAGACCCGTATGTGAGCAGATGCGTACCCATAGGTAATGGGGGTGTCAGGTCTCGGGGATCCCCAGGGCCTGGCACCCGAGCACCCACAATGCATAGACGGCCCAAGTTTAAGGATGTCTGCGCTCCCTGAGCTGTGGGGGGTGAGGGGGGGGTAAATGAGTGTGAGTTTAAGAGTGAATGAGTGGGGCTGGGAAGGTGGCTCAGGGGTAGAGTGCTTGCCTTGCATGCCTGAGGCCCTGGGTTCGATTCCTCAGCACCACATAAGCAAAAAGAAAAAAGCCGGAAGTGGCGCTGTAGCTCAAGTGGTAGAGCGCTAGCCTTGAGCTGAAGAGCTGAGGGACAGCGCCCAGGCCCAGAGTTCAGGCCCCATGACCGGACCCAAAAAAAAAAAAAAACAAGAGTGAATGAGTTTGTGTGTGTGTGTGTGTGTTCGGGGAGGGGCAGAGACAGGGTTCACCTCGCTGTGTGGCCCAGGCTTGAGATTTGCAACCTTCCTGCTTCAGTCTCTCTAGTTCTGGGATTACAGGCATTTATCACCAAACCAGGCTTAGAAATTGGTTGAATGGCCTAGCGCTGGTGGCTCACTCCTGTAATCCTAGCTACTCAGGAGGACAAGATCTGAGGATTGTGGTTCAAAGCCAGCCCAGGCAGGAAAGTCAGTCAGACTCCTATCTCCAATTAACCACCAGAAAACTGGAAGCTGCGTTGTGGCTGAAGTGGTAGAGCACTCACTTTGAGCTGAAGAGCTGAGGGACAGAGCCCAGGCCCAGAGTTCAAGCCCCACAACCAACAAAAAAGAAAAAAAAATGGTGAATGAATGAATAAACAACTTCCAGGACAAGTCCTTGCTCTGAAGACTTGGCTCTGGGTGTCTTGAGGTTCTGATTTATTAAAGGAATTTTCTAGACCCTCCCTACCAGAGCACCCCCTTAGAACTGAGGAGATTTAATATATATTAGAAGACATTGCTGTTTCAAGAGTGAAATCTCCTTCTATCTCTAACCACTCACCGTGTGTCATCTCCACTGATCTTTACTCTAAGCTGTGAGGGCTGGGCAGACACCCTGTGCTCATAGTAAAGATGAAACAGTTACTGAGTGGAGGCCGTGGCGGAGCCTGGAGCCCAGCCGGGCTGTAGACATGAAGGTCTGACGTCGTCTCACATCTCTGTACAGCACAGTACTTTCCTTTCATTCTCAATCCAGAATAATACAGATGCTTCACGGACTGCTGTGGACATGCAGGACACACACCCACGTGCAAGCTGATCTCACCTGTGACATTCTAGGTTCAAAGGGCAGCCTGGCTATCACCTCAGGGCTATTTCAAATTTCAAAGAACTCGTGATTTCCTGTGAACCTTTGGCGATTAGAGAAGTTAGCCCCTGGTTGTCTCAGCCTGGCATGGGGGGGGGGGTTACCAGGGCAAAAGGGGCATAGGTCATGATTAGAGCCATAGGGCCTGTTTGTTTGCTTAGGGTTCCAAACCCCACTTTTGATATGAGGCCCCTGTCAGAGGCAGTTCCCAATTAAAAGGCATTGACTCCTCCAGCACCTTCAACATTAATTTTTAAAATGTTTTTTTGTTGGTCGTAGGTCCTGAACTCTGGACCTGGGTGCTGTCCCTGAGCTCTTCTGCTCAAGGCTAGCGCTGTACCACTTTGAGCCACAGTGCCCCTTCCGGTTTTCTGGTGGTTCATTGGAGATAAGAGTCTCATGGAGTTTCCTGCCTGGGCTGGCTTTGAGCTGTGATCCTCAGATCTCAGCCTCCTGAGTAGCTAGGATGACAGGCGTGAGCCACCGGTGCTCAGCTTCAACATTAGTCTTGAACTCTCAGCTCTACTCCAGTCCAGTCTGTCTCTTAGTCATGCTGGCCCCAATTTGCCAAGGAACCTATAGGAAGTGACGTATCCCCTTCTTCCAGACCTAGGCGTGTGGGCTGGCTGTTGGGGAGCTTGACACCACCCCAGCAATGACAGCTGGGCTCACTATGGTTGGGCAATCAATCCTGAAGGCCACATTAGGCATAAACTCATATCCCTGCTGATACTATTGTTTGCTAGAAAAGATACATAATCTTACAATATTGTAACGTCAGCTGATAAACACTGTTTAACATCAGCTGGTAAACACTGGAAGCCTGACTCAGATCTTAAACCAAGGATCTGGGTCCCACAGGGGTAGATAAGGAGGGAAGCGGCTCTAGGCTCCCAGCTCCCCCCACCCCCACCCCACACTCTACCCTCTTCTCAGGGATGCAGCTGATAGAATTTGCTCACCACCTTAATCTGACTCACAGAAATGATAAGGATAAACAATTAGGAAACAAAGTAACATAAACTTATTTTCTTCTTATCTAGACTAGACATCTTGGATATGCTGTGATCTTACTGAGAATTCTCCCTCCCTCACAGGGCTAGGGGCTCACGTCTTTTCAAGACATTTTTGCTCATGAGAGTGAATAATAAGAGAATTTGGAACAAGATAAGCATAATACAAACCCCAGGTCAATCATTCCCTTGCTGTGTGATTTGTGTGTGGGGTGGGGGGGAGGGGGAACTACTTCTCAGATCTCAGCATCCTGAGTAGTTAGGATTATAGGTGTGAGCCACCAGCACTCAGCTCTGTGTGATGAAAGAAAGGAAGAAAGAAAAAGTACTTAGCCTATAGAGATTCCATTTCTTTATCTACAGAATTGTTTTATAGTTTAGGATTTGGGAAGGCTAATAATCATTCAACGAAACTGAACACAACATGTTCAGCCAGGGCTTTGTGTGTTAGAATGAAATCAAAGGATTCTGAGGAGTTCTGACAAGTTCCACAAGAAAGAAAGAAGGAGTATGGGAGCACATTAATAAAACATGGATTCATTATACATCTCTAGCATAGATATATCTACCTCACCAAGTAAGACTGAAGTGGAGTGGCTCTTCTTCCCTCTTCCAGCAGTCATTTTGTAGATTTAGATGGTATGGGTTACACTGGATCACATGTTATTAAACAGTGACACCTGCTGGCCATCTGTGGGATTGCAGTATAGCTCTATCAGACATTGTTAATCATAAATAAATGAGAGCTGATGGCTTTTGACCTGGGACTTGGGTAGTAACCAGACTTGGGAAGAGTTCCAATGGATTTAAGAAGAAATAAATAGAGATATGATCTTGTGGTAGTAATTACAAAGTTCCTTAAAGACATCTCCAGTGAAAGAATAATGAGCAAGCTATTGTCTTGGTGCCCATCTTAGACCTTGAGTAGATACTTTCATTAGTCTTTCAGGATATTTTCCCTATGGGAATGCATCTTGAATATTATAGTAAAATTATATTAAAAGTAATATACAACTGTAATCCCAGCTACTCCAGAAGTGGCTGCCTGGAGGATAGCAGTTTGAGACCAGCCTGGGGGGAAAAAAGTGCAATACCCCATCTCAACCAATAGCTAAACATGGCAGTTCACACCTGTGATCCTAGCTACGAGAGAGTCATAGACAGAGGATCATAGTCTTAGGATGGCCCTAGGAAAAACTCAAGATCCTATCTGAAAAACAACTAAAATTTAAACAAAGAAGAAGAAAGAGGAGGAGGAAGCAGAGGAAGAAGAAAGAAGAGGAAGAAGAAAAGAAAACAGAGGAGAGATAGCCCCCTTAAAGTACTTATTCCTTTGGTCTCTCCGTGTTTCTTTTCCATTAAGTACTAAGGAGCTTAATGAATATGTATTGTGTAGTTCTGTATACTGGAAAGTAGTAAGCAAACAGACCAGGGTCTTGGCCTTAAAGAATTTCCATCTCAGTGACAGACTGTTGACAAGCCATAAATGGGGTCATTTCAGACAAAATGGAGAGAATAAGGATCATTGTACATGTGTTTACTCTGTGGGCTCTAGGGGGCTGGGGAAATAACCTGTATTCAGTTCAGAACTTTAAGACACTATATAAAGAATCCTTCTGTCCCAAATGACAGGTCATTCACCTCCAATAGTCAGAAGCTCATTCCCCTGCCACAGCCCACCACAGGAGGGTTTGCTCTGTTTGGTCCAGACCCACAGTTCCAGCCTCAGGGCTCCACCCACACCTTACCCAGGGCCCAGCTGTGTCATTCATCCAGAAAACATCTGTTGACATGAACCAGCTGTGCGGGGAGCTTCCTAGTGCTTGTCCCACAGGATGGAGCCGGTAGGACTGAGTTTGGAGAATGAAACTAAACAGCCCCCATTCTGCCTCGTGTAAGAGCATGAAGCATCTGTCCTGCCGTCCTTCACACAAAGCCTAGAACATTCTGGCTGGGAACTTGGTGGTGGCAGTTGATAGACAGGATCTCTTTTTCCTGAGGCATGTCTTCAGTCTTTGCCTCCATGGGAGATGTGGGTGGAAGAAAAAAGAATGAAGACTCCCAAATTCATTGGATGAATGTAATCTGTGTGTGTGTGTGTGTGTGTGTGTGTGTGTGTGTGTGTGTGTGTGTGTGTGTGTGTGTACACGTGCGCGCACGCATGCGTGCACC